AAGATTTTTGAATTTAATTAAGGATTATTTTCTTTTTCAAATGGTTGACATGCCAACAAGGTGTCGTGGGTTGCACAAGAGCTCTTTGTTAGATTTGTTTTTTGTAGAGGTTAGAAATTTAATAAAAAGTTTATCTTATAGTTCTCCATTTGGTAAAGGTGATCATTGTGGTTTGAATTTGGTAATGGGTATAAATTTGTATGATTTCAGGTGTGGCTTAAAAAATAGGCTTGATTTTAAGAGAGGTAATTACAAATTGATGAATTATTACTTGCTGTCTGAATTGGATGTTAAAAGATGTTAAAGACTGTTGTAAAAAATTATAATGATGTTAATGAATTATGATGTTATTATTTGAATGTGATCAATGAGGCAACAAATAGATTTAAACTTTATTCCAATTTTTAACTTGAGATTTTTCAAGAATAGTAACCAAATTAAGTTACCAAGGGATGTTTTAAACATGATTAGGAATAGGAACAAATTATGGAAGAATTTTATAAAACATAGGAATAAGCAAATTTTAACTGAGTATAAGCATTTAAGAAATCAAATTAAAAGAACTGTTGTGAAATTAAGAGAGCAAGATACACTACTTTTAGCTAAGTTGATTAAAACAAATCCAAAGGTTCTCTGGCAACAGTTTAACAAATCAAGAAAAAATAAAATTACTTTGGATGATTTAATTGATGATAAGAAGACCATTATAATGGATGACCATTGTAAAGCTGAGAATTTTGCTAACTTTTTCAAAAATGTTTGTGTTCAGGATAGCGGTTTACATAATCAAAAAATAAATAAATTTAACAAAATACAATAATCATACTATGATGGATAATTTGATTGTTGAAAGAGGTGGAGTTGAAAGAAAAATTGATGGATTGAATAAATATAAATCAGCAGGACCCGATAACTTATTCCCAACGGTTTTGAAACTGTAAACATTCGGTTTCTGATTATTTGTGCAAATTATTTAATTTGTCTTTAAATAGTGGAAAAATTCCGAAAGATTGGAAACACAACATTATTGCTCCTATTTTTCAAAAAAGGGATAGACGTTTGGTTGAGAATTATACACCAGTTGCTCTAAGCTGTGTTTGTTGAAAACTTTTGGAGTTCATTATTAAAGATCATCTATTTATTACATTTATAAAAACAATTTACTAGATTATGGGCAATACGGTTTTGTGAAGAGGATGGATTGTTGGACTGGTGCAATTGATAATTGTTTGGATGTTGATGTTATTTACACAGACTTTACTAAAGCTTTTGATAGAGTGCCGCATGTGTTATTGATTAATAAGTTGCGTGGTTATGGTGTGAATCATTGTTTGGTTGAATGGATTAAGGAGTATTTGTGCGGTAGAATTTCTAGTGTGAGAGTGAATAATTGTTTGTCTAAAAGGTTTTAAGTTAGTAGTGGAGTGCCTCAAGGAAATGTATTAGGTCCGCCTTTGTTTATTGTGTATGTGAATGACATGTTTGCTATTGTGAAAGATAGTTTTGTTCAAATGTATTTGTATGCTGATGATGCTAAAATGTTTAATTTTATAAGATGTGTGGATGATAGAATAGTGCTACAAAAACATCTTGATAAATTGTATGACAAGTGTATGCTATAGAAAATCGATTTGAATATTGAAAAGTGTACAGCTATAAAATTTGGTCATTCATGTTTGGATAATAATTGGTGTTATAATATTAATAATTCTAACTTGGATTTTTGTGGTGAAGTGAACGATTTGGGGGTTTTGTTTGAACGTTCACTGAGCTTCTCTAAGTATATACATCATGTCATTAATAAATGTTTTGTTCTTTTAGGATTGTTATACAGAAACTTTAACAATTTAACTAAAGAGTCATTTATTTTGATTTATAAATCTTTAATTAGGTCAAAGTTAGAGTATGGTGTCAGTGTATGGTCTCCTTGAAAAATAAAGGAAATTGACGAATTTGAAAGGGTTCAGAAACGGGCAACAAAGATGGTCAGGGATTGCAAAGGCCTTTGCTACTGGGATCGATTGAAGTTTCTTGGCTTGCCAACTTTAAGATTTAAAAGAGTTCGTGGAGACATATTTATGATTTTCAACATTGCGAAGGGTATGGTAGATAAAGATTCCTCACCAGCTTTGTGTTTTGATGCGGATCCACGTACCAGAGGGAATCGCTATAGAATACATGTTCAAAAGTTCCATACAAATACAAGAAAGTATTCATTTTCTAACAGAGTGATCTCTATTTGGAACAATTTACCGACATGCGTTGTTGAATCAGATACTGTTTCCAACTTCGAGAAGAATTTTGACTTATATATGGCCAACAAAGGTTTTCTATATGATCATGAAATTGACATTGTTGTTTGATTGCTTTCAGTTGTCTTTTAATGCTATTTTGATATGAGCATATATAACTTACGTTTAAGCCCATTATTTATTTATATTTTTTTTATTTATTTATACACGAGACGAGTATGATCGACACAATCAAATGCAGCACTCATATCAAGTAATGCCAAAAAAGAAACGCATTGACTGTCAATTGAAGAGAACAACTGGGAGAAAATACCAATGAGTGCAGTTTCTGTAGAAAAATATTGGCGATAGCCGTATTTGTTCTTTTTTTGTTAACAAATTGTTTTTGTTTAAATGCTGTAACAATTGTTTGATAGCAACTCGTTTAATGACTTTAAAAATGAATGAAAGATTAGAGATAGGACGGTAATTTGATAAAATTTTGTCGTCCAAATTTGATTTTTTTAGAAGTGGGGTTACAATAGCATGTTTCAAAGGGTTGGGAAAACTGCCAGCTGATAAACATAAGTTGACAAAAAACATCAAAAATGGCAAAATAAGATCTATAATTTTTTAAATATGTATTATTATTATTCGAAAATTTGTATGTTTCTCAAAATGTTTCTCTAATTACAAACAAAATGTTTCTCAAAAGCACTGTCTAAAAAAACATTTGAATTGCTACGATAAACCAAATCTTAAAATCTTATAATAAAAACAAAAATGATTTCAATAATTTCTTGAACAATTTTTCTGTCAGTTCGGGCTGCCTTAGATGACTTGGTAGACTATTCCAAACGGCTGGTCCACATACTGAAAAACTTCTCTCAGCCATTTTCAAGTTGGTTTGGGGCAGACATAACAAGTTGCTATCATCAGACCTTAAGCAGACATTTTTAAAAGACAGTTGTTTCGGTGCATGCATTTCTTTTAAATAAACTGGCGCCATTCCCTTTATACATTTGAACATGATTGTTGATATTTTGAACAAAATTCTTTTTTTGACCATCAACCAGTGCAGTTCTCTGAATATCGGGGTGACATGGTCAAACTTTTTCGCACCAACCACGATCTTAGCTGCCCGATTCTGAATTGACTGAAGCACAGATAACGATTTTTCAGGCAAACCATAAAATAAGCTGTTGCAGTAATCCAGTCTAGAATGAATAAACGAATGCACTAAACTTTGAATAACATCTTTGGTTAAGCTTTTGCGGATTATTTTTAATTTTCGCAGTTGTAGGGTTGCAGTACCAGATAAAAACTTGTTATGTTCAGTCATTGCCAGTCTAGAATCAAAAATGACACCAAAGTTTGTAGCTTTGGGAATAAAGTTTATTATTAATTTTAATTCTAGACAGCTGTTGCCAAGTTCCAACCAGAAGAATTTGCGTTTTACTTTGATTGAGCTTAAGACGATTATTTGCCATCCATTTCTCGATCTCGACCAAACATTTAACAAAACGATCAACTGAAAGATGAAAGTTGCTATAGGATTCTGTGGCGAGTAGCTGAATATCATCTGTAAATGCATGACACTCCAAACCATGTAATCCGATCGCCTCAATAATTTCAGAGGTGTAAAGAACAAACAAGATCGGTCCGAGAACCGAGCCCTGTGGAACACCAAATCTTATCGTTTGAACCGAAGAGGTCTTATTCTTGTAGATTAACTGTTGAGTTCTGTTTGTTAAGTACGACCGAAACCATTGTTCGACAGAGTCAGTTATTCCAAATCTATGATTAAGACGTTTCAGAAGAATGCAATGGTCAACACAGTCAAATGCCGAACTCATATCTAAGAATCCAAGAAGAGATGGTTTACTGTTGTTTATATTTTCATGCAACTTAGATAACACATGCAACAAAGCAGTTTCGGTAGAATGATGTCTTCTTTAGCCTGACTGATATACCGGTAACAAATTGTTTTTATCTAAGTGTTTCATAAGCTCCTTAGAAACTAATCTTTCAATTAATTTTGACAAGAACGACAGATTTGAAACCGGTCTATAATTATTAAGATCAGAATTGTCTAATTTTTCTTTTTTCAAAAGAGGA